CATGGATTCCCTGATGACATTGTTTCCGACAGGGGTCCACAATTCATTTCCGTTTTCTGGAAGGAGTTTTGTCGACTCATAGGTGCCACCGTCAGCTTGTCATCAGGATATCATCCTCAGTCAAATGGACAGTCGGAGCGTCTGAACCAGGAACTAGAGACTACGCTACGTTGTCTCGTCTCCCGGAACCAGACTACCTGGAGTGACCACCTCACATGGGTCGAGTTTGCCCACAATACTCTTCCTACGGCAGCCACAGGTCTCTCTCCATTCCATTGTGTCAATGGTTTCCAGCCTCCATTTTTCCCTAACAACGAGGAAGAGGTGAGGGTTCCATCGGCTCATGCCATGATCAGACGTTGTCGACGAGTTTGGGCTGGTGCTCGCCAGGCTCTTCTCCGAAGTTCAGCTCGGATGAAGGCTGTTGCAGACGTCCATCGCAGGGTCGCTCCCTCCTACAGACCAGGCCAAAATGTTTGGCTTTCCACTAAGGACTTACCACTCCATGTCGCCTCAAAGAAACTGGCTCCGAGATTTGTGGGTCCTTTCCCGGTGTCCAGAGTCATCAACCCGGTGTCTGTACGCTTGCAACTCCCCAGAACTATGAGAGTACATCCGACGTTTCACGTCAGTAAAATCAAGCCGGTGTGCGAGAGCACACTTGTTCCCGCCTCCAAGCCCCCTCCACCGCCCGAGTTCTTTGAAGGGGGTGAGGTTTACAAGGTCCGTAAGCTACTGGAGGTCCGTAATAGGGGGAGGGGGAAGCAATTCCTGGTAGACTGGAAGGGTTACGGTCCTGAGGCTAGAAGCTGGGTAGCTGCGTCATTTATCGTAGACAAGACGCTTATCCACGATTTTTACAATCAGCCTGGGCCATCAGGAGTTGGCCCTAGAGGGGGGGGGTACTGTTGTGCACCGACAGAAATGCTAGAGAGATGCATGTTATTTACGTTTGCTTTCTCTCATTCCAGGCTTCCTGATTATTTTCACCTGTGTCTCCTGTGCTCATCAATGTCAGCCCCGCCCCTGATTGGTCCCACCTGTGTCTAGTTACCCTGTGCTTATATTCCCCTGTCTCCCAAGTGTTCTTTGTCAGTTCGTATTGTCTCTTGCTATGGTCAGGTCTATGCTCTTTGTACTCTTGTAAAGTTTGATTCCTCACTACGTGAGCGCTTTCATTTTGTTCCTCTATTTTTGTCATCTCGGATAGAGATTTGATAGTTACCTTTTTTGTTGTTCATTGCTGTATTTTGGAAAATAAAGTATCTTACTAATACTTTACCTCTGTCTCCCGGGTCGTGCAATTGGGTCCTACATCCTAAGTGTCTGAGTTCGTAACAGATGCAACCTAACCTCCTCGGGAGGAGGTTAGGTTGCAGGCTAAGAGATCAACTCAGTGAAAGCACTGCCTGCTGACCAATCAGAGCTCAGTGTGCGGAGTTTAAAGCGATCAAGTCATATTACAGGATAGAGGAAATACAGAAACTGCCGTTGCAGGAAAGACGGCCGGCAAAAATCAACTGACTGTGTGAACGTGAAAATTAATAGAATATCCCCTCCCATCTTCAGAGCAATCTGACTATTATAACATTAGCGTTAAGAAAGCTTACTTAAATATCTGCCACGACATAAGTAACCGGATCAGAGTAACATTAAGTGCAGTCCGCGGCACTGTGAGTGCAGACGTCGATGTGTCCCATTATCATTCATATCATATCACATCATAATGTATCATATATTTCCTTATCTGAGTCAGCTGAGCCGTATCTGGCCGTGCAACACTCACAGTGTCACATACTGTATGCAGAAGTATTATTTTAAGCAACACATTAAGTTGACGAAACACTCGAGTCAAATGTAATTAAAGTCAGATCGTGTCTTGGACGGGGCAGTGATTTCATAAACCTGTTAATGTACGCATTCAAACGCTTTTTCTGTTACCAGCTGTATTCACCTTGCAGGTGCAGCTATGTGGCTTTGATCCTGGATAAAGTGTTTAAGTCATGGATGTTTAAAGTTTAACTTCTTCATATTTGACTAATATTAAAGTTCACTTTTCATTCAGGAAGTATGACGCTGCGCTGTCAGTACGCGGCTTGTCCATGTTTGTGATTGGTCGAATGCTCCAAATACCACCCCTTTCATGTGAATGCGCACCTAACTAGATAGGACACGGCTGGCTTGAGCGATCCACTTGATAACCAGCGTCGTAGTACAGCTTAGCCAGAGCGCGTATGTTTTGGATTGGGCCAACCGGCTAACTCAAACATATCCAGGTTAGGAAAATCCGGCTTCATAGTACAGGCCTCAGGTGGAGGGATTATATATCTTGGCTGGCCTGGGAGCGCCTTGGGATCCCCCAGTCAGAGCTGGTTGATGTGGCCAGGGAAAGGAACGTTTGGGGCTCTCTGCTGGAACTGATACCTCCGGGACCCGACCACGGATAAGCGGGAGAAGATGGATGGATGTTTTTATTTGTATTTATTATTTGTTAATTCATTCTGTTTTTGTATATATTTTTGTTGTTGTATGTATTGAAGTTATCTTATTTCTGTATACTTTTTTATTGATTTTTTTTATTTCCATTTTGGATGTATTTATTGAACTTTCTTCTGTATTTATTACTTTTAATATATTTTTTAATGATTTGTTAATTTAATAATTCTTACGTATTTATTTTATCCTAAATTATTTAATTTTTGTATTATTTCACTGTATTATTAATGTTGTCTTATTTCTGTCTCTCTTTTATTGAGTGGGTTATTTGTTGTTTACTTTTTGAATATTTTATTTCATTTATTCTGTTGCCTATTTCAACCTTTTGGAATCATATATGCATCATGCTTCAGGTCAAAAATAATAACAAAGCAAGTATTTCCTTCTCATTTATTTTATTTCAACACTTTTCATTCTATATATATAATGAAAACAATGTAAAGAGAAAGCAACAACAGGACACATGAATGGTAATAGCTGCAGCTTTGAGAACAACTGTCATGATTGATAAAATAATACAAGAAAAACATTTACAGATTAAAATCAAGTTTTGTCCATGAAAATATTCATCTTTACCGTCAGTACTTTGCAAAACAGCTGCCATACATGGGTTCATATATATTATACTGTATATGTTTTACAATAGTACCACAAATGACACCTAATTATAAAATATGAGAATAAAGAAATTACTTTTAACGGTCCAATATACATTTTCTTTTATAAATATGTCAATATTGTAAGAGCTATTCATAAAGACATCTATGACACCAGTATATATTAGGGCTGCACGATATATCGTGTCGTGACGATAATCGCGTTATGCACATGCACTCAAACACGTCATGTTACAATTCTTTTGCTGCTCGCTACAAAAGGAAAACTCAAACTCAAACTTAATCCAATAATTAAAATATAAAGAATACCAACTGTGTCCAATTTATAATAATCACCAGGTCCCCAAATCGCCTAGTGCCCAAAACCTCCTTCAAAATAAAAAATATATATATGCACATCCAGATAAATACAGCTGTCGTAAAACACAAATTAAATGTTCATTATCCAGTCAATAAGCAAATAAAAGAAAGTATTATAAATCATTGAAAAGCTTTTTTCCCCTAGTTATGTTCTAACTTTGGGAACCAACTTCTGTATAAGATCATTGGAGCGCAGGCCATATATATTCTGTTTTTTGACACATATATGTGCACAAATAAGAGGGGACCAGCCCAAGGAGATATGTATATATATCTCATCTCTGTGTGCAAAGATGGCCATTCAGCAGCATAAAAGGTAAAGTGGTAAACGATACCAGTAACAAAATGTGATGCACTATGGTGCACAGTATCATCATTATTAACCCTTAGATGCATAAGTGGGTCTTTTTGGACCCGGTGAGGTGGTTTTCTTGAAGTATCTTTGTAATTATATTTTTGTATCATTTCATATTCCAGCTATTCCTCAAAAAATATGTTTTGGATATCATGCCATTCAAATTTTTTATTTACGTTTTATGCATTTTAAGAAATTGTAGTTTTTGTATTTCTACCCCAAGCATCCATAAGTGGGTCAAAAATGACCCGCATACCTGTCAGTATAATAATAATAATAATAATAATGATAATAATAATAATAATAATAATAATAATAATAATAATAATAATAATTATTATTATTATTATTATTATTATTATTATTAGACAGAGGAGAAGAGATGAGTTTTTAAAAGGGACTGGAATACTGTGAGGGAGATCTTGGATTGGTCTTATCGGTCTGATTAGCTTCATTTTTCACCTCAGAAAATATTTGATGTTATCAAATTGATGTAGAAAAATGTTTAAAATGATAAATAGTGAAAAATTAAATATAAAATATTTCTAGTGTGAACCAAAATATGGTATTAAGTATCATACAAGTGATTTCTCTTAACCAAAATGAAAAAAATGGCATAAAAACACATATTATTCTAATACGGGTCATTTTTGACCCACATATGGAAGAGTTAGGGTCCAGCCACTCGGGCATCTAAGGGGGCACTGGTCAGAGGTATTGATGTAAAGCAGATCATCATAATCCATGTAAAAGCGAGATCAAACGTTTCCTTCCCTGAAGCGTGAATGTTAAGCATTTTGTCCGTATAATGTTGTCTTAATACTACTGAGAAAAATGAAAGGGGACCTATCAGGCAAAATGCACTGTTTGATGTCTTTTATACATAAAGATGTGTCCCCGGTGTGTCAGGGAACTCACGCAGCGTCAGAAAATAAAACCTTCTCTCTTTTCCTCCGTGCCTTTGAGCTCCATAATCTTTTCAGAAATACTTTCATCATGGCAGTATTTAGTTTAGAAAGTAGCTGCCGGGTCCCGCATGAGCTCAGCCCCCTCCTTTTTTTTGTATCCATTTTTTTTAAAGCTTTATACCAAAATCTTCCTTTTGAAACAGGAAGTGAAATAGAGGGGTATGAGGCATGGCTAGAATGGGGGATCTGTTTGGTATTTTGAGCAAAACACTTCATAGACATGTTTTTTATATATTTGTATATATCTGAGACCATATCTGAGATCTGCTATTGCCTAAAAATAGCATGATAGGTGACCTTTAACAAACATAACAACGTGTGTTCAGCCCCTCCTTCTCACGAAGGGCTGTTCTGTTCTGTGCATTTCAGGACAAATAAATAATTTGAATAATATAAATTAAATACAACTTACACTAATTCAGCATTCTGAGATTTTCAGGAAAAAAGATAACAAATTTAACGAATAAATAAAAAAATAATTGTAAACTTATGGTCACATCCCAAGTGGCACGTATCCTCCTCCTCCTCCTGTCTGACCTGAAGAATTATTTATTTATTTGTCATCTCTGTTCCTGTCGTGCCGGCATGTATCCGTCACCAGAGGGCGCCACTGACCGGCTGCTGCTCAACAGAGACATTCTCTCCAGGAGGTCAGGTTTCAGACCCTCAGAGAAGCCCAGAGAGAGGGAGGAGCAGGAGGAAGGAGGAGACAGCAGGAGGTCTTCTGTCTCCTCCTCCTCCTCTTCCTCCACCTGGTGCACCTTTTTATAATCAGAGCACACCTGAATGCCTCCCTCACCTCCAAACATCTTGTGGAAATCAACTCTCTCCTCCTCCCTCTCCTCCTTCTCTCTCTCCTCCTTCTCTCTCTCCTCCTTCTCTCTCTCCTCGTCCCTCACCTCCTCTTTCTTCTTATTCTCCTCCTTTGTCCTTTCCTTCTCCTCCTCCTTCCTCTCCTCCTTTCCTTCCTCCCTCCCCTCAGTGATGCTCACCTCCTCCATGCTCTCCTGACTCACCTCCTCCATGCTCTCCTGACTCTCCTGACTCACCTGCTCTCCCCCACTACCAACACCTGAATCTAAGCTCTGCAGCCTCCCTCTCTCCCCCTTTAACTCCTCCACCCTCTCATAGTCTGAGACCGGCAGCATGGCTTCACTCCCTTTAGAGAACAACTGATGGATTTCCTCCTCCTTCTTCTTCCCTCTGTCTTCATCCATTTCCTTTTCACTTCTTTGACCTCCCACCGGCCCGTAAGGAGCGTCAGAGACGCATTGAGGGAGGTTCCCTGCTGTGAGGGAGGAAATGTGAGGAGGAGGAGGAGGAGGAGTATGGGGGAGGAGATCGGAGTAATTGGGGTTGGAGAAGTCTGAACTGGTGGATTTGTGGGTAATTTCGCTTCTGATTTTGTGCATCAGCGCCTCCTCCTGGCTGCACGGCAACACTGCGTCCACACAGGAGGAGATCTCCACCGAGTCCAACTCCCCCGAAACAACGAGGAAGTGAGGACTCGACCGACTCTGCAGGAGAAGAGGAGGTTCAAATACAGAACATTTTGCTAATGTCACACTGTACATTTTACATTTCAATATTCCAATGACTGCATATAGACTATTGTGCACTGTTTCTATGGCATTCTATATTATTTTATTTACCTGTACTATTTCATCTGTTTTATTGTGTTGGAGGAGGAGCCTGTGACCTCAGATGTTCATTGATATATCTCCACTGTAGCTATGTTGACAATAAAAGCCTTGAAACGTGAAACATTTATATCCAATCTAATATTTAATATTCCATTCCTCACATACTTATGTATATATAATATCCTGCTTTATATTTTGTCACTGTACATTTGTACTGTATATTTTCTTATATATTTTGCTAATGCTATTGAGATGTTGACATTTTGGAATGTTTATTCTAGTCTATTGTACAATGCCATGTCTTTTTATGCTGCTGCAACGCAAACATTACCCAACTTGGGATCAATAAAGTACTTCTCATCTTATCTCATTTAAAATATTCATTGGATTATAACGGCTGTAAAGATGCATAAAGCCAGAGGTGGAAGAAGTACAAGATATGTCCAATCTAATTCTTACTTAAGTGAAAGTAAAAAAGTGTTCAAAATATATTTAAATATACTTAAAGTGCTAAAAGTACCCGTTAAGGTTCTAAATCTATATAAAAACAGTGATCGAAGAACTCACATATTCAGATAAGTAAAATTAGCAAGAGTAAACTGTAAACATATGCCTCCATTGGACTCCTTTGTTTACTTGTGGAACATAGTGACATCACTATGGAACAATTGCGCTCCTATTGGCTAGCGATCCAACACAAGGGGCTGGACATCTCTAAGCGGTTGACCAATTATTATGACTATTGATGCATTCATGTGTTCGTCACAGCTGAAATCTAGAGCTATCTTTAATGACTTTAGATTTTGCTGCTGGATATCTGATCCTATAATATATGTACATGTTTATTTATTAGTGGATTAATAGCTTTCATTAGAAAGTCATCAGAATCTGTCAAATCTGTCAGATAAATGTAGTGGAGGTACTGTATAATACTTTAAACCAAATTAATGCAACACCTGTTATAATATTGCCCTGTATTCAGTCTCCTTTTCCCTTTTCATCTCCCTTTCTTTATGCTTCTAATGTTAGCATTTGTCTGTACATAATAACACACTCCAGATGTCCAATATCGACGGTCAAAACTATGCAAATGTCACGGTTGAACAAATGTTTGGGTTTTTAAAAAAACATAAAAGGAGAGCCAGAGAAGATATTTGTATTATCTCTACTATCGTTAAACTAAAAATCCAACAGAAAACACAAGTCTCGAAATCCACAAATCAATTAGATATTTATAACAAAGTGTGTCCCTCTTCTCAGCTTATTTTTGACAGTTTTTTCTTATATCGTTGTTTTTTGGTCATTAAAAGAAAAGCATATTTAAGCTCACCTCGAAGTTTAGATCCTTCAGGAAGGATTTTTCTGGGTTGGGAAGAGGCGGACCTTTGATTATCTTCACGATGTGAACCCTATAAAACACAATGACATGAGCAAGGTTAGAACAAATATAGCTTATTGCTCTTGAACAACATTTGGTTAAGGTCTTGTAAAAGCACTGTGTTGTTGCTTACCAGGTGGTTTTGTCAGTCTTAAATCGTACGATAACCAGAAACACTGCAATCGCAGCTGCAAGGGCAAAAAGGCCCGCAACACGCCAAGCAAGATCTGACAAACACAGGACAGAGAATATACCGTTAGCATATCAAGGCTTATTTGGCTATGCTTGATCCTGATTCACATTACCTGTATAGCTGTTCAATCAAACTATAACATTTTTCCATGTGATATGTTATAAAAACAAACAACAAAAAATGATTAGCATGAAAATGTTTTGTTTGTCCGACTTGATTCCTTCATTCTCAGGAAGAGAACATACCACACTATTTTTCTAATGATCATTAATTAGCATAAGAAATAGGAATACAAATCCCACAAATTAGTATCTAAAATCTTTACATTGACCTTCATAAACGAAATCAATCTGTGTTGACATTTGGCCGTCTTTACCTGATGGTTGGGGTTGTTCCGTTCTTCCAACGGTGGATACCCATGATGCAGTGGGGCTCCAGCCACTCCAGGTAGACTTGAAGTATTCTTCTTCGGTCTTCACTCGAATGCGTGCCTCGTACCTCTTGCCTCGAATCAGCCGATCTTCCTGGAGCTCAGCGGACCCTGGTTGATTCCTCTTCCATGAATTAGTATTTGTGTTTTTCTGCACAGACGGATCCTGATGGAGAAGAAATGAGTGGATGTTGAGTAAGCTGATGTTCATGTAGTGTTTCTTGATATCCTACAAAATGTGTGCAAATTATTAAACAATCTAAAGAACTGTCCAGAACTAAAGGCTGTGACTTGCCAAAACAACCTCAATTAACTAGTTTTGACAGTAAACATGTGTCGCCTCAAGATTCCTGTGTTTTGGCCAAAAAGTCGCACATGAAATACGACAACCAACCATGTCATGTATATTCTGCAACTGCTAAGACCAAATAACTATTCAAACCAGCAGGCAGTGCTAGTCTGAGTTTCAAACATAAACATATGTAAGGTTAGTCGTACAGTAAACTCCTCAACATGTCTGATGTACTTTTCTACAGTGGAACGAGAATGAGAAGACACTTAGCTGCTAACGGGCTAGTTAGCTAGCTAGTTTGCATATTCCTTCATGCTTTTATCCTACACTGGTTACAGGAAATGAGCAAAACAGCGGGGAGCCGACCAGCGGAAGCTCTGGGTTTCAACTATCATTTTCTCTACTCTCCGAAAGGTATGGAGTGAGGCGGCGAGTGTTAGATTGGTTAGTTAGTTAATTATTGTTTCATTTGTTGGCTGATACATTTTAAGTTCACCAAACTCAGCGGTAGCACCACTGGCTACTAGTTCACCAGAACTAGATTAGTTTCTTTAAACAAATGCAAATACACAATAAGGTTTTTTGGGTTTTACGCATGTTCACAATTGAAATAAAACGCACCTTAGTTCACTTAAAGCTATCTGAGACTTGGATCCCATCAAGGGGTTAAACCAGGGTTTAACCAGACTATAAAGGCTGGTGTGAACGCGACATTATGCCTAAAAAATGACACAATTATTCATGCATTAAAATACTAACACAGTAACAAAATATATACACACACTCCATGACTGCTTCTCTTGTTTCCACTGCAACTGGTATTTGAACAGTTCGATTTTGAAATAAACTTGGGGGTGCCAGGAAATGGTGGTGAAGTTGATATGAGGTTGTTGTGGAGGGTTCAGCTTTACTGCAGAATCAAACACACACAAATTTTTGTTTAGGTCATCATGAATAGCTCACAAATTGAATCACATAAGGTGATATATTCATTATACTCACTGTGTTCAATTGGCTGGAAGCACATGTTCACATTCGCCGGCCCAGGATTACAGTTCAGATTCATGGAGAAGAAATTGTAAGGTTGAAACTGAGATAATGTAAGAAAATAATATTGATTAAAAAAAAACATTCATAGGACAACAATACAACATGAAATGAGAGTAGGTCTTGGTAGGGGATGTTTTTTTTAAAGATGAGAGTGTGATTAAAAGTTCAAGCTAATAGTCTTTAATGTAAATATTATTGCTGTATCGAAAGTTAGATAAGAAGATTAATACAACTCTTATATTTGTACACTAAATGTTATTTAACAACTAGTGGCCGTAGCTTAGCTTAGCATACATACTGAGAATAGCTATAGCCAAAGGTGAAAAAGCCCCTTAAATGGCCCCTTAAATGGTCACCAATAAAGATTAGGAAACATAAAAACAAATTTGTACGATGGCACACTGTTGCTAAGAATAGCAGACGGTTACTAAGGATAGGAGACTGTTACTAAGGATGGCACACTGTTAATAACTAAAACCAGATTATATTTGTTAGCGGAAGCAATACAATCATTTTTAAATTGATATTGTGAGTCCAGTGATTTGTTTATTTATTACATAGCCGTTTAATTAGCGAGATAATCAGACTCACGTTTTCGTCTCTATAGAACTCCATGTTACAGGTCATTTGCTTTGATCTGCCTTCAACAGGTTTGAGCGTGCATGAAGCTTTGGAAGCTTTCCGTGTAGGCCTGTAAAAAAAACATGTTCCATTTCATTTTGACTTCAGGCACATAATGTTTGAGATCAAAGTAATTGTTTATCTGCATGTATGTAAATTATACATCTGTCCTTACTCCTTTTTATTTAGGGCGTCTATCGTGCACACACTGTCTGAATGATCGTACGCGCTGTTCCACACACACGTGATTGTACGGTTGTAGTCAGAGGAGCAGGTGATATCTGTGGGAAGTGATGGAGAGAAATGAAAGAGGACAGATTATGTTTATTTTCAGTATGTAGTGTCTCTACTTTAAAGAGTCCTCTCCTGCTGATGTTCAGGTGTATAATTAGTATGTAGTGTCACTACTTTAAAGAGTCCTCTCCTGCTGATGTTCAGGTGTATATCAGTATGTAGTGGCTCTGCTTTAAAGAGTCCTCTCCTGCTGATGTTCATGTGTATATGTAGTGTCTCTACTTTAAAGAGTCCTCTCCTGCTGATGTTCAGGTGTATATTAGTATGTAGTGTCTCTACTTTAAAGAGTCCTCTCCTGCTGATGTTCAGGTGTATATTAGTATGTAGTGTCTCTACTTTAAAGAGTCCTCTCCTGCTGATGTTGAGGTGTATATCAGTATATAGTGTCTCTACTTTAAAGAGTCCTCTCCTGCTGATGTTCAGGTGTATATCAGTATGTAGTGGCTCTGCTTTAAAGAGTCCTCTCCTGCTGATGTTCAGGTGTATATCAGTATGTAGTGTCTCTACTTTAAAGAGTCCTCTCCTGCTGATGTTCAGGTGTATATCAGTATGTAGTGTCTCTACTTTAAAGAGTCCTCTCCTGCTGATGTTCTGGTGTATATCAGTATGTAGTGTCTCTACTTTAAAGAGTCCTCTCCTGCTGATGTTCAGATGTCTATCAGTATGTAGTGTCTCTACTTTAAAGAGTCCTCTCCTGCTGATGTTCAGGTGTATATCAGTATGTAGTGTCTCTACTTTAAAGAGTCCTCTCCTGCTGATGTTCAGGTGTATATCAGTATATAGTGTCTCTACTTTAAAGAGTCCTCTCCTGCTGATGTTCAGGTGTATATCAGTATGTAGTGGCTCTGCTTTAAAGAGTCCTCTCCTGCTGATGTTCAGGTGTATATCAGTATGTAGTGTCTCTACTTTAAAGAGTCCTCTCCTGCTGATGTTCAGGTGTATATCAGTATGTAGTGTCTCTACTTTAAAGAGTCCTCTCCTGCTGATGTTCTGGTGTATATCAGTATGTAGTGTCTCTACTTTAAAGAGTCCTCTCCTGCTGATGTTCAGATGTCTATCAGTATGTAGTGTCTCTACTTTAAAGAGTCCTCTCCTGCTGATGTTCAGGTGTATATCAGTATGTAGTGTCTCTACTTTAAAGAGTCCTCTCCTGCTGATGTTCAGGTGTATATCAGTATATAGTGTCTCTACTTTAAAGAGTCCTCTCCTGCTGATGTTCAGGTGTATATCAGTATGTAGTGTCTCTACTTTAAAGAGTCCTCTCCTGCTGATGTTCAGGTCTATCTCATTCAAAACACTGTTTTTCTTCATAACTTTCCACATATTGTTGTCTAATCACTTTAAATGATTGGACACATTCTGACCATTCTCAAGGTTAGTACCATTTTGTATTTTGCATCCTCCTTGCTATCCAAAGGGACAATAAACCATGAAGAAACAAGCACAAAAAGCAAGAATCCTGCCAGTGCAAAACGTGGCTATCAATAGACGAACAATTGTCAGAGCTGCGTACAGAAGAAAGGACTTTTTAAATTAAATAATTAAATGTATTCATTCAATCATACATTTTTGTACCTATATGTTCACTTTATTTTATTGGGTTTTATATTGTTGTATCCATTCACTTGCATTGTGTCTCATCTTTCCGAGATAAACCATTATTTATTTTATTGTATTTTATTTGTATTATCATACATTTTACCTCCTTGTGTCTCTTAACCTGATAAAATGTTATATTTTGCTGCACGTACCTGTAAAGGTCTTGAAATCTGAGCTGAGGGGAATTTCTTGTTGAAATTTCTAACTTGTGATGTTAAAACATTTTGTAAAGCACTTTGAGCTTCATGTGTTGTATGAAAAGTGCTATATAAATAAAGCTTTATCATTATTATTATTATTATTATTATTATGTTTTTAAGTTTGATATGAACAATTGTGGGCTCCTGGACGGACATTAGTATCGTAGACATTTATCATAAGTCTTATTTAATGATATATAATTTCACTGTAACTTTATTTTCTAACAGTTTAAATTCACGCCTAGCTACTAAATGTTCTCAGACAGAAGGGTTGACCATTGTCAGGCAGTTATGATATGGATCTTAGGTTTATAATTAGCACGTACGCAAGTTTCGCCCGTCTGGCCAACATTTCAATAGCCTGTAACGTCAATTCTAGCTGAGACCTCCCCCTTTTGTCTTTTTCCTGTATAAAGTGCTTGTTTTCCTGTTGTAACAGGGTCAGATTCTGGTACCATCTACTAGTGCAGGTTATCTGTCCTTCCAGCTGGAAATAGATTGATTTTGTTAAATGCTATAACTCTATATTAAATAACAGAACTTTGGCTTACGCTTGTATATTTAAGTGTGGAATTTCCACCACAATTAGATTGTTAAGTTACTCTACAAAACCAAAATAACTTACTGTTGCCCGGGTCACTCGAACAACTTCCCTCTCCATGGCAGACCTGAATCAGAGCGAGAAGCAGGACCAGCAGACGGGGTTTCTGACTCCTCTCCATTTATGATGTCCAGCGTTTGAAGTGTTTTGACGAAGGCTCGTTTCACTGCTTCCTCTTTCTTCTCATCCTGCACACACAGAGAACGTTTGCTTCTTTATTTGTGTGGTGGGTGTCAAGGTGTTATTTTTCTGCACATCCAATAACACCCTGACCACATTGAGAAGCACTGACAGGTGATCGAGAACAAACACAAACAGACATAGAAATGTTTGACATCCTGCCGCAGGTGATCTGGTTCTACTCACACACACCAACACCTGTTGGAAGTGAGATCAATACCCAGGGATAATGAGATGTGGAATTATCTGTTTAAAGGCCAGAATTAGCACCACGTTACATTTGAATTGACTTTAATTGAACACATAATTCACCTTGCAGAGATCCAGGGTCCTGCTCAAAGGCACGTAGGCTGGTTTTACTTCTGAACACACCAAATATCAAGAGCCAGGTAAGAAGTAAAGGGTTGTTGTTTCTAATAAGGATGACATTTTATCCTTGAATTTTGGGAGGTGTGAAACAAAATAGGCAATGCTTAAAGGCGAGTGACATTTTTTAAAACTAATTATTTATTGAATTGACTGATATTGTCCGTATACTGTATTTGCTTTGTTCAAATACAAATCTACTATTTAACATACACTATAAATAAATAAAAAACAAAGAAAGTTATCGTCTGCCTTAAATCTGACATTTTAATCGTTTTGTTAAATAAAATAAAAAAGAATAAAAAGAATAAATAAAAAAAACATTTAAATAATAAAAAACTAAAATGAATGGAATTTAATAAAAAAAACAGCCCAAATAAAGTCAAACTAAATAATTGAAAATAAATTAAAAATAATTAAAAAAATAAAACCAGCACATTTACAATTATATAACATTTAAATAATAAATCATCAAACTAAATGTATTAAAGTTAAGTATGCCTTTAATCTGTGTAGAAAAAATAAATAAAATAATAACAGCCCAAATATATACTGTATAAAGAAAAATACTAACAGATGTAAAGATATATATATTAAAGTTCAGTCTGCCTTTAATCAGAAATCAGTAAATAAAAAAATAAAAAATTACATTTATTAAAATGTAAATATTAATATCAATGAGAAATAATTAAAAAAATCCCAAAATATTTAACTAATAAAATAATTTAAATTAATATAAACGGAGGCGTGTGGTGCAGTGGGTTGTGCGTTGGAGTTCGGATCAAGGGAACACAGGTTCAAACCCCACTGCAGTCAGCATGTCGTTGTGTCCCTGAGACACTTCACCCCAAATTGCTCCTGTGGGGATTGTCCACAGTATTGAGTATGTAAGTCGCTTTGGATAAAAGCGTCTAACAAGTGACATGTCATGTAATGTAATGATAAAAACCAAACACATCAGCTTCAGTAAACATTTGTCATTGTGTGATTTAAAGTCATCATACTGAACAAATCATTACAAAAAAACTCCAACACCTGTTCAGGTCCCACATCCTCTCTTCCTAAACAAACTGTGTCCCACCGGCTCCTGCATGTTACACATTATTAATAAATCATCACAAAGTCTTACCTGTTGCTGCAGGGTCTGCTTTAAAGCTCTGGTTCACTCCATCTGACGCTCTGTCGACAAACACCACACTTATAAGGTTAGTTTCTCAGTGGAAATGAAAAAAAGTGTTGACATAGATGATGACATCATGCCCTTCAAAGGTCACTACTTAGAAATTAATCAATCAATCTACCACGATATCTCCGGGCGCTGCAGTGTGTCAGACCTGAAGTCATCTTCCTCTTTTCTGTGTGGTTAACTTCAGCTTCTTTTGTATTTTACTTAGAGAGACAATTAAGGACATTTTGTAACTGTTGCTATTTTTAGAAGCTGGTTTAATAGGAAGATGAAATTACCTCAAAGAGACTTATTACAAAAAAAACAGAACGGAAACTTTTAAAAGATACACATCCTGACAGCTAAGAGATAAGTGACAACTAAAATGAGACACTCATTAACTACAGAAATACACTAAATACCTGAAAAGAGACAAACAATCGAAAAACGACTTAAAAAACACAAAAACGTAATCCTAACCCTCATCCTGATGACTTAGAGACACATGACAACACAAAAGAGACACCACATGACCACAAAGACACACAAAACATGCAAGAGATACACATTGTGACAACTAAGGGCCATATGACAACAAAAAAGGGCCACATTATGACTACAAAAACAAAGGAAACATTTAAAAGATACACATCCTTAAAACTAAGAGATACATGACGGCTAAAATGCCTAGACAGCAAGACACAAAATACCTAAAAATAGACTGAAAATGACTAAAAAAGACACAGAAAACTTTTGAGAGACACATGACGGATAAAATGTAACACAGAATAACAAAACAGAGACACACAATGATACACAGAGGGAGAAAAGACACATCCCATCCTGACAGCTAAGAGACACATCACTGCTAATATGGGAAACAGAATGACTACAAAATGACTCAAAAGGGCCTCAAAGTGTTACAAAATAACTAGAAGGAGACAGAAACTGACTACAAAGACAAGACATATTTAAAAGACACACATCCTGACAGCTGAGAGACACTGACTCAAAAAGACCACAAATCAACACAAAGACACAACATCAACTAAATCATCTTCACCTCTTTTTGTCGTTAGAGCTTCAGAGAAGTTTCCTCTTGTATTTTCCTTTATCTGATCATAAAAGACATATTCTAATTGTCCAATAAGCTGCTTATAATGAGAACGACATGCATCCACTGATGAGGAGACGTCAGTGGAAGTACTGCGGTTTAATACAAGTATGTATATCTACAGGCTAATTATTGACCACCCACACTTCCCTCTAAGAGGTCCCTTCCACACACACACACACACGCACACACACACACACACACACACACACACACACACACACACACACACAGCTGTGTGTTTCTTCTCTTTTTATGGAAAACATTAGATTTATAGAAACTGAACGATGGTTTCATTGCAGGTAAAACCACACGCTGACATTTATATTCTGTCAAAACAGGAAGAAAATTGTGTGTGTGTGTGTGTGTGTGTGTGTGTGTGTGTGTGTGTGTGTGTGTGTGTGTGTGTGTGTGTGTGTGTGTGTGTGTGTGTGTGTGACACGTATGATGTGTGGTGTGTGGTTATACAGCCCACTGCAAACCGACCTACAAAACACCCACAGCCCTTCTGCAAAAAATAGCTTCTCTTTGCAAAACAACATTGAAGGACTATTTAATTGTTAGATTAAAGCAAACTGACTTCTGTATTTTCCGTTCACTCGGTCACCTTCGTGTTTTTGTGGTTTAATAAAAAAGGTCACAGATATTTGTCTCAGAAGCCAAAAGGTTCCAGGTGCACTTCCTGCTAACGTCCCTTCTTCAAAGAGCAGATAGCAGATGATGTGCTCAGAAACCTTCATCATGTACACTCTGCTATCAAAAAGTCCGTCCAGTTATTAGCATTATAGGAAACCAGAAGGAAGTTTAAAGTTATTCTCGCTATTTCTGAAAAAAGGTGTTAGAAAAGGTGAGAAAGGGAAGCTAATCACCACATATCCTGTTAGAGACGTGTTGGCTGCAGCTAAAGGTCAACATGTTCCACGAACAAAGAGGCCCTATTCTTCTTCTGTGGTATAGGTTTCTTTTGTAGAGTTCAAACCTTTTTCACTGAGGGTCACATTCAGACAAACTGGGCCCCTCACTACAGGTATAATAAGTTAAGTTATAACTTGGCAAAATCAATCAAATCTAGGAGAATTATTCTTGATACTTGAATATGCTTCAAGAAAAACAACAGCCTACATCACAGGGTTAATGTCAGGAGAAGGACAAGACACTCCTCTCTCCTCTCTCCTCTCTCCTCTCTCCTCTCTCCTCTCTCCTCTCTCCTCCAGAGAGCCTCCTTGATGCTCGGTCCTCGGTGTATTTAGAGAAATGGGATATCCTTCAACATGGCGCGCTGAAATCTATTTCCACTACCGGAGGACCGAGGAGTTGAGGAGATGAGGAGATGAGGAGATGAGGAGATGAGGAGGGGGAAAGTAGATACGTGGGAAAGGCTAACAGAGAACAATAGGGAAGAGAAATACACACAAGACCAATCACAATACAAGACACAGCTGGACATAACTACACTGTATGTACGAATGACAATAAAAGTCTTGCATCTTGAATCTTGAAAGGTGGAGGTGAAACGCAGGCGCAGCCGGTGAACACTATAACACTCAGGCTCAACTCCAAACCACACCCTACAGAAATGGAGGATGACACCCTCTCTAATGGTCACACATGTTCATGCTCACAGCACACAGTGAAAGTTGACCTCTGCTTTGAACCCATCCTATAGGAGCAGTAATGTTGTGTCTCGTCAAATGTCTTAGTTTTATGTATTTTGTCTGTCATTTCCTGTTTTATTTTGTACTTACCTCTTGTCTTTCATTCCAGGCCCTGTTTCTTCCTCCCCCTGTGTGTTTTCCCAGCGTCTGCCCCGCCTCTGATTGTTTCCACCTGTTCCCACTGCCCTCAAGTTTGAATAGTCCTGTCTCTCCCCTGTCCTGTGTCAGCTCTTGTTTGTTTCAATGGATGGTCGTGCCAAGCTTCAACTAAGAGAGGATCTTTTCCAGTCTAGTCAGGTTTTGTTATTTTGTTATGTTTTTTTTGTAAGCTTAAGTTCATCTTAAGTTCTCTTTTTGTTACGCTTGTTTTTCCTCCTTGTGCGCTTTATGTTAAATCCAGTACCTACTCTGTTCAGAGGGATTTTCTGTTTTCTTGGAAATTAAAAATACATTTTTTACTACATTCAAGACTGTCTCTGGGTCGTGCATTTGGGTTCTCCAGTTTGTGTTAAGGTCGTGACAAGTGGGCAGCTATTGCACAGCGCCCGGGGAGCAGTGGGGAGTGAGGGGGTGTCCGGTGCCTTGCTCAAGGGCACTAGGACAGGTGAACTAACCATAACCCTAACTCACTGCATACAGATGATAAGAACTGTATGTGAACTTGTGTTTTTTTAACTTAATACTAAAGTCCAAGAGATGCTGATTTGAAAGCGTTGTTACCTATAAGGCCTCGGACAGTCCTTTGTGCCTTCAGCCATCAGGCTGCACAACAAGGGGTCAACAATGTGACACAAACTGGACATAGAATACACATTTCTTTCACACACACATGTCAATAATATGTCCACATGACTAAATATGTATATATGTTCATTTTAATTCATTTCGTATTGTATAGTTATTTACCTTTTTTTTTATCTTTGATTTTATCCTTAATTGTATTAATCTATGTGAATCTGTGCTGACCCGTGTTTCTATTTGACCCTCTTAAACTACTGCATTTCCCCACTGGGATTAATACAGGTCCGTCTTATCTTATCTCCTGTTTCTGCTGGAGAGAGGGGAGTTTGTCCCAAAGCTCAGCGCTGTATTTACACCCTCCATCTGGAAGAAGGATCCTCATCTAGCTGAGATGGGAGTGGTTAGGGTGTGGTTTGGAATTGGGCCTCGGAAAATCAGGCACAAGAGGGAAAACACAGGAAGTAAAACCAGAAAAGACAAATGGAGGAAAATACATTTCAAAATAAAACTGGAAAATATCAACATAAACCGAGAATCATGACAGTTCAAGTCTATTTTGAAACATACATGACCAAAACTACCCTAACTTCTGAGCCACAGCTACTGCTATAAAACACACTATCAAGTTGCATCATGGGAAGTGTAGTATCCTGTAGTTTTTACAGTTTGACCCCAATTAGTGACAATTAGGGACAACCGAATGACCATAATACCGTTAATACGTTGAAACAAACACTACATAAATAATTTGATAGCAAATTAAATGTATTAGTCAGTATGTTCAGTACATAGAGATTGTAAATATTAAAGTCAAAGTCCAGTTTACTTCAGATAGAAGTTGTTGGCATTGGTTAACATATTGATCTTTATATATGTTCTACTACTCGCACCATATTTCTTGAGTTACTGCTGCAAGAAAGTTGGTTTTAACTCTTATTTTGAAAACAAACATGACAAAAACAACCCTAACTTCTGAACCACAGCGACTGCCATAAAAACACACCATCAAGTTGCATCATGGGAAGTGTAGTATCCTGTGTTTTTTTACAGTTTGACCAAAATTTGGGGTTAAAAGTCGTAAACTTTGATGAGAAACAAGCCTACGTGTCATGACAGTCACAATGACACGGTTCAGAGTCAGCTGCTCGACAACGTTCATATCACATGATCAGCAGCTGATAGGGAAACTTCAGAGAGGAAGCAGCGCTCTGAATAAACACCATAGAAGAAGAAGTCAGTCTAGTCTCTGATAAAAAGCTCTTTATTCCGATTTCTTGTCTTTCTTCTGCTGACATTTTGGACTCCCACTCAACGGATCCAGAAGCTGAAACTGTGTTCTCTCACTTTCCTCTCAAAAGCACAGAAATAACCACAAACTACGAACAGAAACTCACACACACACACACACACACACAAACCACTTCCTGCTGTTCCCAGAAAAGCTACCGTTGTTTCTAAAAAGAAGAAACCAACATTTGCCCTTCCTTTCTCGCTCTGTTTCACACATGTTTTCTGATGCAAAGACCACTAATGTAACAGCGCTCAAACACATTGTACGTGATAGGCTAAGGGGCGGGACATCACTAAGCTGGTTGACCAATCACAACAGAGCCGGCCAGCTAACCAATCAGAGCAGACTGGGCTCTGGTTTCAGACAGAGGGGGAAAGAGGTGCTGCAGCACAGGCAGTATGAGAAAAATAAAGAGCTTTCTGAACATTAAAGCATGGAGACATGTCCCAGTACACACTTGGGGGCCACAACCAAACTGAGCTCATGGTTGTGGCCCCCAAGGCACTGCTCGGGAAGGTTGGAGATCTGCTCCTCAACATCGACGGTTCCATCATCTCCCCATCCCCTCAGGTCCGCAACTTTGGAGTTGTCTTGGATTCAACCCTCTCATTTCAAAACCACATAAAGTCTGTTTCAAAATCAGCCTTCTTCCACCTCAGAAATATATCCAGACTCCGGCCATCACTCTCCGACTCTGTTGCAGAGAAGCTGATTCATTGTTTTATTACCTCGAGCCTGGACTATTGTAACGGACTCCTGTCCGGGGTTCCCAGCAAAACCCTGAACAGGCTCCAGTACATCCAGAACTCAGCTGCCAGGGTTCTCACACGCACCAAGCCCTGGCAGCACATCACCCCCACTCTCTTCAACCTCTGGCTCCCGGTCAAGTCCCTCATCACCTACAAACTCCTCCTCCTCACCTACAAGTCCCTCCGTGCCCTCTCCCCTCAGTCCCTCACAGATCTCCTCCACCCTTACATCCTGTCCCGCACCCTTCGATCCTCAGACTCTGGCCTGCTCTCCATTCCACCTTCACGCCTCCGCACCTTCGGGGACCGTGCCTTCAGTGTCGCTGCCCCCCCCCCCTCTGGAACTCCCTCCCTGCAGAAATCCGCAACGCCCCTTCTGTTCAACGATAACTCACTCTTCCCCCCCACTTACACTTCTGCCCCCTGTTTTATGTGTTATGTTTGATGTCTTGTCCTTGTATGTTTCTTTGTAAAGCGACCTTGAGGTTATGAAAGGCGCTATATAAATTTATAAATAAAGTTATTATTATTATTATTAGTACAAAGAAACTGCAGATGGACAGCCCGGGACTCTCGACCGGCCCACTTCGGTACCGCAAGTAAATACCGCTAGTATATTATCAACGGGGGGGGTGCTAGTGACTTATCCGACCGGCCTACT